TCATTGACGATCACTCGCCAGGTAGATTTCCCAAACGCCAATCACTGACAATTTTTGCCAACATTGAATACCATCCTCATTTCATATCTTTGGCTACCAGCTTGCTAGCTTTCCGCCGAAGTAGACTTATTAAAAAGGCAATTTTATTTTATGTCACTGCCATAAAGAAACAGTAACTGTGAAAACAAATCCACAGAAAACAAAGCAATGTTTTTTGCATTCTATCCTGGAGGCTAGGAGCGTGAGGCCCGCTTTTTCTTTGTTTCCCAGGGAGATTGACTGGGTTATAATGACGTTTAAGGTCTATAAGTACCAAACTGATGCTTTCTTCTGGAGAAAATCTGATAGATTAACAAAGAAGAAGAGAAGTTGCTTTTTCTGTAAGTCTGTCTTATGTTAAATCTTGTCCCATACTTTTGAAAATTTCCTTGGAGTGGATTCTCTTTCCATACTTCAGGAAGCACTTGGCTGAGATGATGACTGGGAGTCCTTTGAAAAGGATTGAGTGCTTTAATTAACAGGACAAGTGATTGGTATGCTTCTCATCTTTAGTCCTGGCAGGTTTTTGGTACCTCTCGCTTAGTAGGTGATCAGTAAACACTCAATATTGCAAAAAGGAGCCACTGTGTACAGAATGTTCAGGCCAAAAGCAACCTTGTGGCGATCTGACAAAAGGGCAAACTGTGTTCTCCAGTGAGTGATGGAGAATCTGGCGTCTCCTGAGACCACAAGCCCCCTGTTGAACTGTTTCTGGCTGGCTCTGGAGGACAGGGACAAAGCACTGCGCACCTCCCCCCCCCCCCCAACCTTGGGTCCTGTTCTGCCCTGGGGACATACTAGACTCTCTTTCCTTTCTTTCTGCCTAGTTGGAGACTGCTGTCTCATTCTGCCGAAGACGGGGCTTGCGAACTCAGATGACCACAGGAGCTGGCAAAGTGATGCCAATTAGTGAAGGAGGTCAGGTGGGGTGGCGGGGGCTGGGTAGCATCCCCACCTGAACGGGACAGTCCTCCTCTGCATCTGCAGATTGCTACCCTATGAGCCCCATGTGGCCGGGTGCTGAGATGGTCTCAGAAAACCTGAAGATCCCATTTTGGATATTAAAGCTTCAAGCTGTAAACCTTAGCAACGCATTACAATGTGGTAAACCATGGTGTGGTCCAACACCCACCCAACCAGCCAGCCAAACATGATGTGGACTGGGGGCTTCCTGGTGAAGTCTGGGCCCTCGCCACAAATTACTCCCCACTGCCCCTTCCGTTCTTTCTGGGCTGGGCAGCCCCATTCTCCTCAAGCCATGACTGTGGGCGGTGGTTCCTAGAATTCCATGGTGGATGGGATGCATCCCTCTGCATGCCTTTAAACATTGCCAAGCTCCCTCTCAGCCTGTATCTGTCCCATTCATCTGGTGAACTCCTCCTCCTCCTAATTTTTCCTTTAATTTTAATGTTTATTTATTTTTGAGAGGGACAGAGTGTGAGCAGGGGAGGGACAGAGAGAGAGGGAGACACAGAATTGGAAGCAGGCTCCAGGCTCTGAGCTGTCAGCACAGAGACAGGTGGGGCCTGAACTCACAAACCCTGAGATGGAGACCTGAGCCAAAGTCAGATGCTTAACTGACTGAGCCACCCAGGTGCCCCCTCCTTCTCCTCCTTATTTTTAATGGTTGTCCTTTGCTCTGGAGAGCCTTCCTCATAACCCCAGGCAAACTGGCTTTTCCATTTTCTAGCTAGGATGTGATGCTAGGTGAATTACTTAATCTCTCTGTCCCTCAATTTGCTTATCTGTGAAATGGGGATGATGATACTACCTACCTCATTAGATTGCCAGGGGGATTAAAAGAATTTGTAGATATACTGGTAGACAGACAGAAGACAGACAGACTGGGGTTTCCTAGCAGGTAGAGCTAGTCCGTGATCCATCTCTGAAACAGGGCACAGAGCCCGTATGCATTCAATGTTTGATCACTTGAGGAAATGGGGAGAAGTGAATATGTGGTCCTTCTTTCTGACCATCATGATGATATGATAGGCTTGTGAATACAGCTCTTCTGAAGTCCTCGCTTTTGAAAAAGGCAACCAAAAATATCTATCTAAATGGCTAAAATACAAAAACAATGACAACACTAAATGCTGGCAGAGAAACTGGATCGCTCATACATTGCTGGTGGGAAGGAAAATTGGTACCGTCACTCTGGAAAAACAGTTTGACAGTTTTTTAAAAATAAAACTAATTATGTCATTACCATATGGGCCAGCAGCTGTACTCTGGGGCATTTGCTCCAAAGAAGTGAAAACTTGTATTCACGCAAAGCTTGCACACGAATGTGATAGCCCCACACTGGAAACAGCCCGGACATTCTTTGGTGAGTGGTTAAGCACATCGTGGTACATCCGCACAATGGAATCTTACTCAGCGATAAAGAGGAATGAATTATGGTACACGCAGCAGCTTGGGAATCTCAAGGGAATGATGCTGAGTGAAAAAGTCAGTCCCAAAAGGTTACCTGCTGTCTGGCTCTATTTACAGAACATTTTCCAAGTGACAAAATTCTAGATATGGGGACCAGGTTAGTGATTGCCAAGGGCAAGGACGGGAGTGCTTTGAGAAGGTGGGGTTAGGGATCCTTGGGTCAAGGCATCATTCATACCTTGACCACGGTGGTGGACACAAACCTACACGTATGATGAAACTGTAAAACTAAACACACACAAACGAGTACCTGTAAAACCACGAATTTTTTTTAAAGCTTATTTATTTTGAGAGAGAGAGAGAGCACACGCAAGTGTGCGTGCACAAATGGGGGAGGGGCAGAGAGCGTAGAAGAGAGAGAATCCCAAGACTTGGACTTGAACTCATGAAACCGTGAGCTCATGACCTGAGCGGGAATCAAGAGTAGGACGCTTAACCCACTGAGCCACCCAGGCGCCCCAAACCAGGGAATTCTAAATAGATTGACAGATTGTATCAGTGTCAGGTTCCTGGTTGTGATATTGTACCATGATAGTTTTGCAGGATGCTATCACTGGGATAAACTAGGTAAACGTTGCATGTTATTTGCTACAACCACACGTGCACCTACAGTATCTCAAAAATTTTAGTAAATTACTTTAAAAAGCATTGCAAGGTGGGTGCCTGGGTGGCTCAGTCGTTAGGCATCTGACTTTGGGTTCAGGTCATGATCTCACAGTTGCTGAGTTCGAGTCCCACATCAGGTGAGCACCAGCCCCGCTTCAGGTGAGCATGAGCCCTGCTTGGGGTGGGCTTGCACCCCACTTCTGATGAGCTCCAGCCCTGATTCAGGTAAAAAGATTTGGGTAAAAACATGAGCCCAAGGTGAGCCCCCTTCTCTCTCTCGCCCCTCCCCCTCACTCGCACCCTCTCTCTCCTTAAAAAAATACAATACAATACAATACAATACAATACAATACAATACAATACAATACAGTACAATACAATACAATACAATACAATACAGCATTGCATGGTATTCAAACCAAAACAAAAAGTAACCAAAGGCGGCTGGCCTGCAGTTTTTTAGATGAGCCTTGCCTTCAGCTTCTGTTTACATTTGAATTGGGTTTACTCCACCCTGAAGGCTTTTGCCTTTTGAGCCTGGCCAAGCCAGCCCCTTCCCCATTTCCTTGTGTACCCTCCAGTCTGGGAGCTGGGAGGGACCCAGAGAAAAATCTGAATCCAACCTGACCTCCCAAGAAAGGGTCTGGGCTAGGGCTGAAGCGTCTTTATCCTCTGGAGGATGGGCAGCCGGGGAGTGGAACACAGAACCCAGAAGATCAGCAATTACTTCCTGAAGGCCAAGGCCATCCTGAACCCTTGGGACCAGCAGGCATTAACACATTAGGCAAATGCAGACCGGTGCCAGTCTTTGTTCATTATCCCGTAATTATCCACCAGCCTTGCTGTGGGTTCCTAGCTGGGCTGGCTGCATTTACGTCTCTCTGCTCTTCCTCCAAGCTGTTTCTCTTTGCTGTTAGGTGTAGAACTTTTCTGGTCAGCTCTTTCTATTCCTATCTACTCTGGGAGGTGGACACAACATTAGAGAGGTGGGAAAAGAGGCTTAAAGAGGTGCAGGTGACTGTGCCAAGACCCTTTCTTTCCCTGTGTGTGTGAGAGCCCATAGGGTCTGTGCTGAATGAGCGACAGGGACCAGTTGGAATCGGACTGAAATTTTGTCGACTTCATGTTGTCCAGCGATCTATGAGAGACAGATGGGTGATTTGTTTATTAAAATTTTTTTTGTTTATTTATTCTGAGAGAGCATGCAAGCGAGGGAGGGGCAGAGAGCAAGGGAGAGACAGAATCCCAAGCAGGCTCCTAGCTGTCAGCCTGGAGCCCAGTGTGGGGCTCAAACCCACAAACTGTGAGATCATGACCTGAGCTGAAACCAAGAGTCGGAGGCATAACTGGACTGAGCCATCCCGGCGCCCCGCAAAAAGTGTGATTAAAAAATATTTTTAAGGTCATCCAAAGAAGAAAACATGAAGATTTTCTAAGATTTTCTAGGCCCCTGTAGTTAGGCAATTACCAAACTTTTTGGTCTTCGGACGCTTTTATGCTCTTAAGATTAAGGATCTCCAAGAGATTTTGTTTTTGTGGATTATATCTGCCCGTACTTACCATAGCAAAAATTAATACCGAGAAACATAAAATATGGTATTAATTCCTTTAAAAATAACAATAACTCCCTTATATGTTACAACAGTATAATAACCTTCTATGTAATAACAACACAACCCCCCAAATTCGTAATTATGTGGCCTGATGGCGTAATCACGTAGCAAAGGCTACAGTAGTAATCATATCGCGTAGGTAAGCGTATCAAGTCATTGCTCTGTGCCTTAGACTTACACAAGGCTACAGGCCAATTATATCTCAACTTTAAACAGATGAATAAAAGAGAAAAAGCAAGCGTTTTGGGCCCGGGGAGAGTGAGCGACACCCTCTGATCCGCGTGCCTCTGTGTCTCTCTCCCCGCACAGGCCCCCAGCATGCGGCCCCAGCGCCGCCGGAGCCTGCGCGCTCCCCTCGCACCCGGCGCCCCGCGCTAGCGCCCCGCCGCCGCCGGGGGTGTGGGGAGGCGCCAAGGCCATGGCCAGCCACGTGGACCTGCTGACCGAGCTGCAGCTGCTGGAGAAGGTGCCCACGCTGGAGCGGCTGCGCGCCGCGCAGAAGCGCCGGGCGCAGCAGCTGAAGAAGTGGGCGCAGTACGAGCAGGACCTGCAGCACCGCAAGCGCAAGCACGAGCGGAAGCGCAGCGCGGGCGGCCGGCGGAAGAAGGTGTCCTTCGAGGCCAGCGTGGCCCTGCTGGAGGCGTCCCTGAGGAACGACGCCGAGGAAGGTAGGCCCTCCCGTCCTCGGCACCCCTACCCCCACCCCGGGCGCCTCCTCCTCCGGGCTGGCCTCCTGGGCTGCGCCGCGGAGGGGTGCGGTGCGGGCTGGGTCTGGCCCACTCCCAAGTTTGGGCAGCCCCGCACAGGCGAGCAGGGGCGCTTACCCTGCGGGGCTCTGAATTATCTTAGCCTTTTTTTTTTTTTTTAAACAAGAATGCTAGCCTTTGGCTAATGAATACCATACTAATTTCCCTTCCCTCCTGTGAATGTTTACCGACAGCCCCAAAAGCCCCGAGCCTTACTATTCCACTTGTGGCCAACCAATTGGATCTGGTCTTGCTCTTCCAGGAGCGTGATACTCAGAGGCTCTTGCGTTTCTTGAGCCCGGCTTGGGCGCCACACCACCGTACGGGGCGCTGCGTGTGCTGTTGAGTTTGGGCCGGCCTTGGCTGCGGACCTGGGTGGGTGCAGGGTGGGTGGCTAATAGCACAGGCCAGCAGTCAGACTGCCCTTGCTTCTGAAGCTGGCTTTGTCGTCGGTCATTCCCGGGGTGACTCTGGCCAGTAGGCGGATCACCTCGGCTCCCTGTACTTTAGTTCCCACCTCTGCAAAATGGGGATAAATACGAGTATCCACCTCAAGGGCTTGCGGTGAGCATGAAATTAGGTAATACCTCTGAGTTCTTGGGCACGAATGGTCCCTCATACTGTGTGAGTAGTTACTAGTATATTTCGTTTTATTAAGTTATGACTATAGTTTATTTCATTATATTTATATAATGAATATATGCTATATACATATTTGTGTATATATATATAAAACATTTGCCTAATATAACATTTATATATAGGTAATTGTGTGTATACACAGAGTGTTCGTAAAGTCTGGAAATGGACAGTATGTACAATGTTGTCTAGGACACTCACTATATAAAGCGAACATATAACTGGACATGAACACATATATTCACACACTCATGGAATCCGTTTCCAGATTTTATGGATACCCCGTACTTGTTACATTTACTTAATTATGTTATTATATGTCCCTGGATCCAGGTATCATGATACTCTAAAGGCAGGTGTAATAAACACCCATTTTACAGATAGGGAAACTGAGACCCAGAGAGGTTCAGAGCCTTGACCAAGGTGGTAGAGCTGGGACCAGAAACCACAGGATTCAAGTTGCTGTCGATGGTCTCATGGCCTCGGGGGTTTGTTTCCCGTTATAGGAATGTTTGGAGGACCCATGATTTTACCAAAGCTCTCTTCCCCGAACGGGCCCCGCGGGGTCCTTGTGCAGCTGAGGTGTGTGTATGTGTCCTGTGCTCCCCTCGGCGGACCCCAGTCCCCTCCTGTACAGGAGCCCTTTCTGGCTGTCCCCGGAGAGGCCTAGCCATGCTTCCTGGGTCCCTCTGGCCTCCTGCCTCTGCACCCCCTCCGGACGCGTGGTGCTAGAGCGGTTGTTGAAAGACGGATGACACTTTCTGCGCTAGAGGGTGTTGGGTGTTTTGCACATCGCTCCTCAGGTTCTAGCACCTTCTGAGAAGCACGATCCCACTTCTGCCCCGGCTACAGTGTTCTGGGAACTGAGCAGAAACATTCCCGGAACCACTCAGCTGGAAACAGCACAGCCGAGAGCCTGGGGTGAGCAGCCTCCGAGAGAGAGAGAGAGAGAGAGAGAGAGAGAGAGAGAGGCAGGCTTGAAATGTCGGGCTCAGGGGACCTGCCCTGCGAAGCTCCTTCCTCCACGAGATTTGCCAGGTGACGTGGCAGGACCCATCCTGCTCAGTGGGCGGCACATCAGTGATGTCTAATTTTTGTCGTGGGCGGCGGTTCATCAGCTCCTCTTTTGCCACTCATCTTTTCCCCCCTCTTTCCCTGACAAAGCCCCGGTCCCCTCCCTGAAGGGACTTTGTGAGCTGGCTGTCAGCTGCTCCAGCATGTCATCGCCTCCCCGGCCCCAGCGTGGGCCCCACACCCTGACAGACCCCCACGCGCGCTGGTGAGAAGGAGCCCTGGGCTCGGGGCCAGGGCCGCAGCCCCCCCTTGGCCTTGCGTGTGATCCTGAGTGGCTGTTTCACCTCTCTGGGTCGTTTCTGGATCTGGAAAAGGGAGTTTTGAACCTTGTCCTCAAGGGGGTGTGGCAAGAATCAGACAAGATGCTGAATGTGACAGCTCTCTGAGAAGTGGCGCTGAAGGCGGCACCAGTGTGGTGAGCCTTTTAATATGCCTTTCCTCTGTTTCTTTTAACACACTTTTTAAATAACCCAAATATCCATAAACACATTCTTCTTCTAAAACTCAACACAGAGGCATACAGAGCCGAGGGTCCCTCCCTCCACCCCTCCTTTCTTTTTGTTACTCTCATGTGCTTCCTTCCAGGAGTTTTTCTTACTTGCCTATTTGTAGACTTGGAGAAATAGAGAGACTGCCGGGGGAGGGGGGGGGTTGTTTTTGTTTTTAATGCTTCTTTATGTTTGAGAGAAAAGAGAGACAGAGTATGAGTGAGGGAGGGGCAGAGAGAGAGAGAGGGAGACACAGAATCCAAAGCAGCTCCAGGCTCTGAGCTGTCAGCACAGAGTCTGACGCGGGGCTTGAATGCATGAACCGTGAGATCGTGACCTGAGCTGAAGTCGGACGTGTTACCCCAGGAGCCCATTTCTGTTTTGTTTTTATGCAAATGATGACACACCGGATACATTACTTTGCAGTTTGTTTTTCACCCAACAACGTGTCTTAGAGGTGTTTTCGTGCCCGTGCCCTGGAATAATAGATCTGTATTATCCTTTTTAACTGCTGTGTAGTATTCTGTGGTATGGCTTCACCAGAATTTTTTTTTTTTTAATGTTTTATTTATTTCTGAGAGAGAGAGAGAGAGAGAGAGAGAGAGACAGTGTGAGCAGGGGAGGGTCAGAGAGAGAGGGAGACACAGAACCTGAAACAGGCTCCAGGCTCTAAGCTAGCCGTCAGCACAGAGCCCGATGCGGGGCTCGAACCCACAAACCGTGAGATCATGACCTGAGCCGAAGTCAGACGCTTAACCGACTGAGCCACCCAGGCGCCCCGGCTTCCTCAGAATTTTTGAGCTGGTTCTTTATCGATAGGCACGGAGGCTTCTTCAATAGTTTTGCTTTTGCGCAAGTGGACGTTTTGTGCACACAGCCGGATGTTTATCAGGGACAGATGTGGGACAGTAGAAGAGCTGGAGACAAGGATATGTGTATTCAATTTGAAAGAGCGAAGCGCTGGCCCCCGGGGCCCGCCAAGGGCGGGGGGAGGGCCAGGGAACTGTGTGCTGTGGCGGCTGTGGGGTGGCCGGGAGGTCCCCCGGGGTCCTCAGGCGGCTGGCTTTGGGCAGGGGTGTGAAGCTTCCATCAGTCAGCAGGCAGCCTGGCCCCGGGCTGCGCTCAGCTCCCTGGCAGCGTGACAGAGCGATGGTGCCTGCGTGCTGGTGGAGCTGGTGTTGGGGAGGCTGCAGGGGCGTTAGCTCGCAGCGCGATGGGAGTGGGGGTGGCAGCGCCCCCGCTCCCTTGAGCTCACAGCAGCGGCTGAGTCAACCTCCTCCACCTGCCAGGGCAATGTGAATCGACCCAGAGAAAGGCAGCGCTGGGGAGGGACTCCCTGTATTTCCTTCTCTGGCTCTGCGTTGCCTTCAGGCTAACGTCTGGGCGACCAGGGACCCTCCTTGGCCTGGGGCTTGCCTGAACCCACCCTCAGGTGCCCACTGCCCAGCATCAGCCCGTGCTCCAGCCGTCTCCAGCCCCGCTTCCTCCTCTACCCACTGTCTTCTCTTACCTACCTGCCTGTGTATATGCAGTTCCCTCTGTCTGGAACATTCTTTCCCCTGACTCCTGTAACCTTAGGGGCTAGGTCGTGAGTGGCATTCTTGGGGAGCTGTCTGTGAGCCTCCTCTGCAGCCCACCCCGTCACCAGTTAGAGCAGCAACTCAATACACAGCTGGTGTTTACTGGGAGGCTGTGCAGTGTCGTGGCGAGGGGCAAGCACTCCAGAGCGAGTTCTCCAGGATTCACATTCCAGCTCTGCCATGTCCTGGCTGTGCAGCCTCAGGAAGCTTCCTAAACTTCTGGGGCCTCAGTTTCCCCACTGTGAAAATGAAGATGATCTAATACACCTACCTCAGAAAGTTGTTCTGGGGTTAGGACGCCTGGGTGGCGGTTGAGCATCTAACTTCGGCTCAGGTCACGATCTCACGTTTTGTGAGTTTGAGCCCCGCGTCGGGCTCTGTGCTGACAGCTCAGAGCCTGGAGCCTGCTTCGCTTACTGTGTCTTCCTCTCTCTCTGCCCCTCCCCTGCTTGTGCTCTGTCTCTCAAAAATAAATAAAAATGTTAAAAAAAAAAAAAAAAGAAGAAAGTTGTTCTGGGGTTAAATCGGCTTTACTGAATCTGGAGTGGTATGTTAGGGCGTAGATAGGTGCTATAAATTGTTGCAGCTCTGCGTGATGTACGGTCTACACTTACATAATCCGTTGCTAGTATATACACTGATCATCATCATTACAATTATTTATTGAGTGCTTATTTTGAATCAGACATTATCTCAGTGCATCCTCACAACAGCCCCCTGAGGTAGAGAGTCAAATCCCATTTCTTAAAAACAGCCCTTTTGAGTTTTAATTTACATATCACGGAACTTGCCCATTTTAAAGTGTACAATTTAGTGACTTTCAGTACATTTACAGAGTTATGCACTCATCACCACGTCCCGATTTTTGAACATTCCCTCACCCCAAAAAGAAACTCTGCACCCATTTGTAGTCACTCCTGGTTCCCACCCTTTGTCCCCAGTCCTAGGCAATCACTAATCTGTTTTCTGCCTCTGTATCTTGCCTTTTCTGGAATGTTCCACGTACATGGACTCACCCAATATGTGATCTTTTGCGATTGGCTTGTTGTTTCATTTAGAGTCCTGTTTTCAGGGTGCTTTCAGGTCGTGACATGTATCAGGCATATATTTTTTTCTTTTATCGCCCCATAGTATTCCATCG